CTTCTTGGGTGGCCAGCTTTTCATCTGTCATGGTATTGGGGAAGTTTTCTGTCGGCAGTTCTTCAGTGATCCTCTCTGTGTTTTCTGTTTCCTTCTGGAACTCCAATCACTCAAAAATTTTTGCTTTTGATTGTATCCCACATAATTCTCAGGGTCTCTTTATTTTTCTTCATTCTTTTTTTGGATTTTTACTCAAACAGAGTTGTATCCAAGTGTTTGTCTTCAGTTTTGCCTTTGTTGATTGCTTGTTGTTGTGTATGATACTTTTCGCCTCCTTTTGCAATTGGCAGAGTCAGTCTCTCAGATATGGTACAGCAGGGCAGGTCTAGCTGAAGAGGGGTTACTGGAATGGGCTGTTTGTGGCACTTACTATGGCCACCAGGATGGGCTTGTAATCAGTGCAGGGCAGGTTCTGGTAGGCCATTCCTGGGCTGCTCGGTAGTGTGATGTTTAGCGCACGGTGCACGTAGGCAGGATGAATGGGGGAGATTGTGATGTGTGGAGCTAAGATTGTTATGGGAGAGAGGAGAGCGAAGAGAGAGGAACGGGAGCGAAAAACATACAAACAGAAAAGAGTGCTAAGGGAGCTTGTCACTGGAGTGGAAATGAGAGACTATGAAATGGAGAAAAACAAAAAGGAGAAGAAAAAAGAAAAGAAAAAAATGAATGAATAAAAATTAGAAAGAAAAGCAAAGCTCCCAGGGATCCCACTGGTGCAGCTGGGAGGTCTGAGGAAGTTGCTCCCAGGCCATGAAGTACAGCCAGGCCAGAAAGGCAGAGGTGTCACTCAGTGCTGGGTATTCAGGGGACAGGAAGAGAAGGAAAGTATAGAGAGATGAGAAACTGAGTAATGAAGAAAGACACAAAGGGAAAAAGAGGGAAAAGAAAACAAAACGAACAAATAAAAAATGATAATAATAAAAAAGAACAAGAAAAACCCTCAGAGAAAACAAAAAAGATATGCCTTCAGGGATCCCTCTGCACGTCTGCGTAAACTGAGGCGGGGTAGGTCCCAAGCTGTGCAGTTCTGCCTGGCTAGAACAGGTGCCCAGTTCAGAAAAGAGGAAGAAAACAAACAAACAAACAATTCAAAAGAAATGAAAAGCCCCTGGGATCCCACCAATGTGGCAGCCCGGGCCAGGAAGCAGTTTCACATTCGAGCAGCATTTCACAGCCTTTTAGGAAGAAGCAAAGATGGCACATGGAGCCAGGTATTTGAGAGAAAGGAGGAGGAGGTGGTGAGAGGTAAGGAAGAAATCTAAAGAAGAGGAAGAAGCAACACCAGCAGCCAACAAATGGCACTTAGAGAGCCGGCCAGGGCTGGTGGGTAGAATCCAAGCAACACTGGGGTAAACTTGGTGCTTCCCGGCCAAGAGATTGTGGCCACAGGAAGCAGAGGACGTGAAGTGCGGGTGAGGAAGGGTGGGGGGTGGGAAAACGTATATCACTGATTACTGGTTGTTCTGTTTCCTGCTGGAAGTTCCGTGAAGCTGTCTTCTCGTACCCCGTCTGCTGATCTCTGATAGGAGTCCAAGATGGCGGATCCGTGCTGTGTTAGCTGATAGGGGACCTCTGCATGTATCTCTCCTCGCTCTCTGTTCTCTGTCAGTTTGTCCTCTCTCAGTTTCTTATTCCATTCGGTGCTTGTCTGAGTTCTTTATCTCTTCATTTGATGCTTAGGGTTTCAGGATTGCCGTTTTCTCTGTTTGGCTTAGTTTTTTGGATCTTTGCTGTGGAGGGACAGCGTGGTGCTTCTGTCTATAGCACCATGTTGCCTGGAAGTTAATTGTACTTTAGATGAAGGTTTACAGAACAAACTAGCTTCTCATTAAATGTTAGTACACATATTGTTTTCTGACATTGGTTGCCAACACCTCGACATGTCAACACTCTCCTCTTCTTGACCTTGGGTTCCCCATTGCCACCTTTCCTGTCCCCTCCTGCCTTCTCATCCTTGCCCCTGAGCTGGTGTGCCCATTTAGTCTTGTTTTGTTTTATGGGCCTGTCTAATCTTTGGCTGAAGGGTGAACCACAGGAGTGACTTCATTACTGAGCTATAAGGGTATCCAGGGGCCATACTCTGGGGGTTTTTCCAGTCTCTGTCAGACCATTAAGTCTTGTCTTTTTTTTTTTGAGTTAGAATGTTGTTGTACATTTTTCTCCAGCTCTGGGACCCTCGATTGTGATCCCTGTCAATGCAGTCAGTGCTCGTAGCCGGGCATCATCTAGTTGTACTGGAGTCAGTCTGGTGGAGGCTTTGTTAGTTGTTGTCCATTGGTCCTTTGGACTAATCTTTCCCTGTGTCTTTGGTTTTTTTCTTTCTCCCTTGCTCTAGACGGAGTGAGACCAGTGGAGTATCTTAGATGGTCTCTCACAAGCTTTTAAACCCCCAGATGCTACTCACCGAAGTAGAGAGTAGAACATTTTTTTTATAAACTATGTTATGCCAGTTGAGCTAGATGTTCCCCGAGACCATGGTCCCCACAGCCCTCAGCCCTGAAATTCAGTCCCTCAGGGAGTTTGGATGTGTCTATGGAGCTTCCATGTCCTTGCCTTGTACAAGTTGTGCTGGCTTCCCCAGTAATGTGTACTGTCTTACCCTTCACCAAAGTTAGCACTTATCTGTTACCTAGTTAGTGTTTTTCCCTCCCCACCACTCCCCTCCCTTATAACCATCAAAGATCATTTCTTTTTGTGTGTAAACCTTTTCATGTGTTTTTATAATAGTGGTCTCATACAGTGTTTTTCGTTTTGTGATTGACTTATTTCACTCAGCATAATACGCCCCAGATTCATCCATATTGTGAGATGTTTCACAGATTCATCATTGTTCTTTATGGTCGCAGAGTATTCCATTGTATGTATGGCCATAGTTTATCCAGTCATCTGTTGATGGGCACTTAGGTTGTTTCCATCTTTTTGCTATTTTGAACAGTGCTACAATGAACATGAGTGTGCATGTATCTATTCGTGTGATTGCTCTTATTCCTCTAGGATATATTCCTAGGCGTGGGATTGTTGGATCGTATGGTATTTCTATTTCTAACTTTTAAAGGAAGGCACGATATTGTTTTCCAAAATGGTTGTACCATTTTACATTCCCATAAGCAGTGCATAAGAGTTCCAAGCTCCCTGCAGCCTCTCCAGCATTTGCTATTTTCTGTTTTTTTGATTCATGCCAGTAGTATTGGGGGGAGATGGTACGTCATTGTACTTTTGATTTGTGTTTCTCTGATGGCTAGTGATTGTGAGCATTTCCTCATGTGTCTGTTAGCTGCTGCTGGCTTTTTTTTTTTTTTTTTTTTGATGGTTCTTCTCATTTATATATATCACAGCAAACACAGTACTTCATGCCACAGGGTGGTTGCAAATTAAATCTTACTGTTCTATGTTTTGTGCGTGTTATTTTTTTAAATTTTGTGGCAAGGCAGTGCCTCTGCATGGCAGCATCAGAGAGCATGAAGAAGAGTTAGCCACCCCACCCCAAGGAGAAGCAGCCTGGCCCTCTGGTGCAGTACCTCTGTGGCCCTAAGTGTCTTTACCCCTCTTCTCCTGTTCTAGTCACTGGAGCTAGAGCTCAGCCACCTAGAAGCCTCATTTAACAAGAATCTTCTCTGGCCTTTTACTTTTCAAAGAGACAAGCCCTAAGAAGCAGGTTTAGATAGGAGATTTAAGGAGAAGCGACTTTTAGGTGAATAAATCCTGATAGGTTTGCTAGAGTGGGCTCAGTACTATAAGGGGGTAAGCTAATTCACAATGAAAACATTTTAAAACAACTTCCGATGAGCCAGGAAACTGAATTCTCCATCTGTTCTTCTGTCCATCCATGCATGTATGCGTCCATTTATCTAAAAGATGTTTGGCAGCTACTCTGCTCAATGTTGAGCATGAATGGAGAGTGAGAGGATGCATAGCTTTTGTGGCCCCAGAGTAGTGAGCAGTGTGTGGGAGAGTGTCAGAGCTTGCCAGCCTCAGTGGGGAGGTCTTCCTGGAGGATGGGTTGGGCTCCCAGGCGGAGCGGGATGAGTGGAGGAGACAGTGTGCATGGAGGCCCAGAGGGGAGGAAGAGCCCAGGGCCGCCTGAGGCAGTGGTTCCAGACCTCTCTCTCAGAATTGTGGAGTGCAGCTGGCCCTCTCCTGGGACGAGGGGTGCAAGCTCAGGCACATGCTCCTAGACTTGACATCTACTTTCTGGAGACACCCAGACTCCTTGAGCCACACGACATCCTCGTGGATAGGAGCCTAGCATTCTTTCATGGGGGGCTTGGCCTACTTTATGTGTGCATTTCTAAGATCCCTTTACGGGAGTCCTTCATTTAGGGTTTGTTACATCAGCTAGGAATTCACATTTCATCCCGTCAGTAGAAACTGTCTTTCCAGGAGCTGCTTACAAATGTTTAAACCAGATAAGTATTTATAGCAAAAATATCCATATATTTGTCTTTTCTAGTAAATGTACAGTGTTACTGAAACAAGGTTTTGCAGAAATTGCTGCAGAAGGGTTTAGGCTTCATTTTTTTTTATGATCCTTAAGCCTGATGAGATACTAAATGGGATTCTTAAATGCTGGGGGCTTCTCAAGCAGTGTGCTTGGCCCAGAAATGCCCTACACTTGTTGTTTGATCCATCTTTTCAAGAAATATATTCTCGATCTTTTTAAAATTCAGTTCATAGCTTTGAAACAATGCAAATGTGCTTGAAGATGCAGGTTGCAACCCCATGAAGACTGGTGGCTGAAGGCATCTTCTGGATTCAGTGCTGTGTGGGTTATGTGGAGACGAACCCACATATGACCTGTGCTTATCCTTGAAGTATGCCATGAGCCTTTCCCATCTCTCTGGGCTGTCCACGGCCCTGGGGTCTCCAGTGGGATTGGGGTTTTATTTGATGAGGTCTGTGGTGACCTCGCCTTTTGCACATGGTGACTTTGCCTTGTTGCTCCCACAGCCACTTCCCCACGGGTGTCCTCTGAGCTGGAGCAAGCTCGGCCCCAGACCAGTGGAGAAGAGGAGCTGCAGCTTCAGCTGGCATTGGCCATGAGCAGAGAAGTGGCTGAGCAGGTCAGTGCCTGGTCGGTCAGCCCTGTTGGGGCAGAGCGGGGTGGGCTACAGGGAGGATCACAACACAGCCCCGTCTTCAAGACATCTTGAATGTGGTGGCCACAGCAGAACTTTGTGCTGCCACATGCTGCCACCCACTGTCCCTATCAGGGAGGGAGCCTGTGCCATGGTACATTTAGGAAAGGTTTTTGGAGCAGTAGTGACCAGTGAAGAAACTAGTGGAAAGGGCTCCCCAGAAACTATTGTGCAGCTCTGACCAGCATTCAGAACTCTCTGTACTTAGTGAGTGGGGTGTGCACAGCCACCTTGAAGGACAGGTGTGTAGGAGATGCCGCTGCAGAGGGGCTGGGTGCAGAGTGCCTTGGCAGGGGTGCAGGAAGTGGACCTCCTGTGAGGCTTGGGGCTGGGTGGGCTCCCCTAGGAGGGCGGTTTGCTGAGATGCACCAAGAGCCCCGACAGTGCTCAGAGGCGCAGAGAAAAAACTAGAAAGAAAGATGAGAAAGCACTCTGGAAAGAAGCGTGCTTGTGTTCAGATGACGGAAGTCCATGTATTCTTAATTGTTTCAGTTCCAGTTCCTCTCTAATAAGCATGCATGACTTTAAAATGGGGGCAGAGGGAAAGGAGAGATAAAATTAAAGCTCTCTTCTGAAGTAATCCTCCATGCTAGTTGAAGTTGTCAGGTCCGTGTCCACAGACCCCTGGGGAAAGGGCTGGCCGGGTCAGGGCTAGCAGTGTGCCTGCTCTTGTTGGGGAGCCGGTGCTCAGAGAACAATATTAGGGATGTATGTGCAAAGATGTTTCCCAGCATTACTTGTCTATTGATGATTGGAAATATGCTACGACTCAGCTGCAGTGGACAGCTTCAATGACGGCCTCTCTGTACCCAGGTAGAAAAGTTACACAGTCCTCAAGTCTGTGCACGCAGATGCGCAAGACAGCGCTCGCTGGGAGATGCAGGGCCCAGACAGACGGTTCGATCCCTTTCAGTTAATCAATCATATCTGTGTGTTATACCATATTTATGAATAGGAGCATGTGTAAATAATTTGTGTTAGAAATCAGAGCTTTCTGGAAGCATATGCAGTGGGAGGTGGAATGCTATGTGATTCTCATCCTTCTAATTTTTTCTGCATTGTCTGATGTTGTGTTTTATAAGGAGGCATATTGATTTTATCATTAGAAAGAATTATAAAGCCATTTTTATTTTGAGAAAAAAATTTTAAACATCTCCTTTCCCCAATTTGGTGGTGCCTAATTGTCTCCCTGGTGCCTGTCGTGAAGGGAGTTGAAATCTCCTGGGGCCCAGGGAGAAACGAACCTCCTGAGCTACAGTGATTTTTGGGGGGAATGAATATACACTATTGAAAGTAATCCTGTTTTTCCTGTTTTATAAGTTGTCTTCAAACCTTCCTTTGAGATAATGCAGAATCCAGTGTTGTGTTTCCTACTGCTGGCCAGTGTTGCTTTGCTCTGTGTAGTGGTGTTATTACATTAGAAACAGCTTCAAACCTCACTTATATTTAAAAAAAAAAAAAAAAGCAAATATATAGAAACCAAAGTTTACTAGTGGTTACCAGGGACATGAGGGAGGGGAAAAAGGAGGGTTATTACTTATGGAACTCTGAGTTTATGTTAACGGTGGTGGGAAAATCACATTAATTAAGGCCAAGGCTTGCACAGCCAATTAACATAATTGATGTCAAAAGTGTACGCTTGTTAAAAGTTGAATTGGCAAACGTTGTTTGATAGATATATTTACAATAGTAAAATACACAACCAAACACCTCATGGGATTTGATTTCTTGGTTTGGAGGTTGGGTCATGGTTTCATGGGACATCCCAGTTAATTGGCCTAATATCGGGTTTAGTGCTTCTGTTCTGCCTCCTCATTTGTTTGGTTGTGCCTGGGGTCTTAAAAGCTTCCAGGCGACAATCCAAGGTACAGCAATTGGTCTCTATTCGCCTGGAGCAACAGAGGAAGAAGGACAGTCAGGAATAGGAGGAGGATGTGGAATGTGTAGCTAATTGCTTCCATGAACAACTGCCGCCTTTGCCATGAGTCCGGAAGAACTGGATGGTGCCCAGCTACCATTACTAAACATTTTGATGGAAGATTCTATGGAAGAATCCTGATCACGAGGGGAAAATGCAGAACAGAGTTTCAAATTCTCATGGACTCTAGACTTCCTGGAGCCATGGAGGCTGATCAACCCCTGAAACTATTGCCCTGAGATAATCTTTAAACTATAAAGCAGAAACATCCCCTGAAGTCTTCTTTAAACCAAACAGTAGTTTAACTTAATTAGTAAAGAATGTCTGCCTTGGAGCACTTTGCTGTTTTGAAGAACTGTCTATATGGGATCAAATTGACAACAGCAACTTGGAAAGTCAGAGAGGAAGTTTAGGGGGCAGTGAGATTATGTTAATGAAGGAGGAACAGTTCAGAAAAGGAGAGTGAGAATGGTTGCAGAACATAGTCAGTGACACTGAATTGTACATGTAGAAACTGTTGAATTAGTTTATGTTTTGTTGTTATATTCTCATCAACAACAACAACAAAATAATAAATTATTTAAAAAAAAAAAATCAGCTTCAAGTTCGAGTTGTCCCTCTGCAGGAAGAACGCCTCAGGCGGGGGGATGACCTCAGATTACAGATGGCCCTCGAAGAAAGCCGAAGAGACACAGTTAAAGTTCCAAAAAAGAAAGAGGTAAGAGCTTCATTGGGCAGGGAACTTTTGAGACTGTCCTGTGGTTGCTGTGGAAATGCCCACGCCCCAGTCTGCAGCACGTGTGTGATGTGCAGAGCATCCTCAGAACACACTGTCTTCTCTATTCACTAAACAAATGGCCCAGGTACCTGTGTGTGGTAAGCAAGAGTAAAGTGAGGATGTAGCTGAGAACGTGTCTGACTCGCCATGACTGGCCTGTCTGAACTATACCCTGCCCCCCAGAGTAGGCAGGCATAGGTGGTGGGCCTGGTTGTCTGGATTCACTGTATTCTACCCCCTACCTCCAGCAGGTGGGCACAGGCAGTGGGCCCAGTCATCTAGGTTCACGTGCCATCCATTAACCAGGATATTCTTAATGTCCCAGTTCCTCAGTTTCCTCATCTGTAAGATGAGGATGATAATCATGCCTGCCTCATGTGGTTATGGTGTGTATTAAAGACATAGTTGCCGTAGTGTCAGCACCAACTCATGGCGACCCCAGTTGTGTCAGAGTAGAACTGTGCACCATAGGATTTTCGGTGGCTGATTTTTTGGAAGTAGCACACCAGGCCTTTTTTTCCAAGGCGTGTTACCATTTGCATCACCTAGGGACTCCATGGTGAAAGTTAAATTCACTGTCAAGTGCTTTAGAAGGAATTCCCGGCACAGGACAAGCCTTTTGTCACGCTGGCCTTCATCATGGTCATTGTTCTCTCTCTGTGCCAGGCGCTGTGCGCCGTGCTTGGACATAAAGATGACCAGGATGGGACTCTGTTCCTGACACACTGAATACCCATCAAGGAGACATCCCTTCTCACCACAGAGGGTGGGGCTCCAGTGGCCCCCATTACAGGGCTGCTTGGTGGTGGTGGGAGCGGGGAGGGGGCAACCCCTGGATAAGAGGGGCTGTACTTGGGAGGCAGTGATGTGAGGGTGGGGCCCTTTCCTGTAGTTAGGGGTCTTCGTGAATAGTTATGACATACATATGGAGATTTGCTGTGACTGTAGCAGTATAAGTGACTCTTGTTGGCACAATGGTTAAGTGCTCGGTTGCTAACTGAAAGGTCAGCAGTTTGAACCCACCAGCCTCTCCGTGGAAGAAAGATGTGGCAGTCTGCTTCCATAAATATTACAGCTTTGGAGACCCTATGGGGTAGTTCTACTCTGTCCTACAGGGTCGCTGTGAGTCAGAATTGACTCGACGGCAACGGGCTTGAGTTTGGTAGCAATATAAAACTTGTCTCCTTCTTTGTCTCAGAAGCACGGTTCCCACCCACAGCAAACCACTCTGTTGGATTTAATGGACGCTCTCCCCAACTCAGGCCCTCTGGCCCAGAAAGCAGAGCCCTGGGGCCCAGCACCCACAGCTAGCCAGACCAACCCCTGGGGTGGGCCAGCAGCCCCAGCAAGTACCTCGGACCCCTGGCCATCGTTCGGTAAGACCCCTTGGTTCCTCCTCCAAGCTTGCCTCCTGGATGGGTGAGGGGCGGCAGGAGGAACTCTTTGTTCTTTATTGCTTGGCGGAGGTGGGGTCCTGGTTGGGTTCATTGTGATGAATTCTCAGTGGTGATGTCAGCGGGCTGGGCCCTCCTCTCTTGAGGATTGTGCTCAGCACTCTACTTTTTCCGTGTTGAATGGTTTCTGCTTTGGTTGAGGGAAGGCCTACTTCCTCTCTGCTTCACATGCACATCAGAAGTGACTTGTCCCTTTCCTGGGACATGTTTCAACTCTCTAAGCCTCCTAAGTGTACCCAGCACCTCAGCCTAAGGAGCTACAATACACAGCAGGAAATGTCTAAGTCCAGTTGCTGTAATTAGCTGAAAATTAGGATGTGATTAACACAACTGCTGATGAGAAAGGAATTCCTACTTGTTACATAAAGCTGTTTAATAGGCTAAGTGAATATTCTGAAATTCTGTTTGATGCCAAATTATAAGAGAGTTTGTGGTAGGAGATTGAAAATGTGAGCGTGATGTGACTGGCTGATCTGGGGTGGTAGCCTTGGCCCATGGGCTTCTGAGTTGGTGTACACGGCCCTGGGCTGCCAGGCCTGTCACCCCTCAGATGCTGTCAATGCTCTGCAGGCTTTCTGCCTGGGAACTTTGAATGTGTATTTTGTGGCAACCTGGGGTCCCTCTTTCCCCAAACTGGAGCCATCTTTTGTATTCAGCTTGGTCCCTGGGTGTTTGCAGAGGTGTGCCAAATGCCACGCTCTATCCCACTATGCAAGGATCCAAAGACAGATAATGCTCGTGCCCTCTAGAATCCTGGTCTGGTACAGGCAGGCTGGCTGCATGTGATTGCAGCACTGCGTGCTCGACCTCAGTAGGGTTATTTGAGCACATGCTAGGTCAGGGCTTAGCTCAGGGGCCCAGGGAGTATGGGGCAAGCTTCTTGGAGAGAATCTTCAAGGAATTGCAGGAGGTGGCCAGGCAGCGGAGAGGCTACGTGTTCCCAGCAGAGGACTCAGCTGTGTGAAGGTAAGAGGGCGTGGAGCTCCGGTGTAATGGGCACAGGGCACTGCACAGTGTGAGGCTGGGGAGTGGGGGAGTGGCTGGGCCCAGGCCTCGCGTGCAGCCTGTGAAGCGGCTGGGACCTGGTCCAGAAGGTGGTGCCCTGCAGTCCTGGATGTGCTTTGGTGATGCAGTTGGCCCCAGTCACCCAGGCAGAGTCCCCTGGGCCTTGGGGGCAAACCCCAGGCTGAATTTCCCATAGTTTTCACTGCCCAAAGGCCACTAACAGGGCTGCTTAGAGGTGATTTGTGAGGGGAACTGTGGTGGGACATCCCTGACGGGCATGGGCAGGCAGTGTGAGGCTGGCTGCTGGGGGCGCCCCAGGGCAGTGCTGGGGGAACATATGGGGTTCTTTGGTGTGCTGGCCTGCAGTGGGTTGGGTATGGGTGGTGCCGAGGAGCCGGCTCCTGCAGGCAGTAGCTTCTGGTTTTACTTTTCAACTTGAATCCAATTCTGTGGCATGACGGCCACCTGAAGTTATGGATAGGATCTTCTTCAGGAGAGAGTTTTCAACCCCTTTCAAGCATTTTATAGTGGATCAGTGAACAGGTGGTTGGTTTTCTCAGTGCCCAGAAAAGAAAGTAGTCAGCCCAGGGGCCAGGTGAGTTTAATAAGATTAAGTTGTGCTGAGCTGGGGGTTGAGTCTGGGGGTCTGGGTGGTAGACTTATTTTTTGCTGTCTGTTTTTTTTTTTTTAAACTGTTTGACTTGTTTACCAGGATATGTCTTACCTGGTCAGGAAAGACAAAATATTCTTTGAAAAAAATGAACAAGTTAGCTTGCCTATCCTTTGGCTAGCGGGCCGGGACTGTGTTCTGGACTGAATATTTTAGACTGAGCCAGGGATCTGAGTGGGTGGTGGCCCCTGCACAGACGAGCTGGAGAAGTTTTCCTGCAGCCAAACAGTGGCAGATCAGTGACCCAGTGTCCTGCTCTAGTGAATGCAAATTCCCCCACACCTGCAGGCACAGTCAATGAGGGGCCAGGCTCAGGATGCTGGGCAGGTTTTGGGTATGATGGGGCCACCGGGAGCAAGGCAACTCGTGCCTGGGGCACCTGAGCATCACCTGGGAATGCCAGCTCAGGTGGGTTTGCACTGCCAATTTTTTTTTTAATTGAGATAAAATTCACATACCATAAAATTCACCACTTTTACCGTTCTAAAGTGTAGTTTACTATACAGTCATGCGCTGCATAACGTCTGTTCGGGCAACGCCCAAATGCATATACTTTCATGGTCCTGTAAGGTTATAATAAAGTTCAGAAATCTCGATCAGAGAATGGGACAGGGTGGATGTAACCGGATGTAGCAAATGCAACAGCTTCCCACACACAACACGTGTATCTCATGTCTTTTGTATACAAAGCAATTGCACTGCCAGGCGTATAATGGTATAGTACCTATGTAACCTATAACACATACGTCTTGATAGTCATAATGCCTGTGTTACTGGCTTATGTATGTACTGTACTGTTCTTACTATTGTTATTTTAATGTGAACTTTCCCTACTTATAAAAAAATTTTTACCATATAACAGTGTATGCTTCGACTCATAGGCAGCAGCATCCAATCTTGTGTATTGAATAACTCTTGAGTGTTGTAGTGTTATCTCTCTGTTTAATTTTCTTTTGAAAATATTACCATGAAGTTCATCATGGCTCCCAAATGCAGCAAAACCAGTGCTAGTAATAGCAGCAGCAAGAGGCAAAGGAGAAGTATCAGTTTGGATGTGAAACAAAAGGTATATATATATATTACAGTGTTCACACAGCATCTAAATCGTGTAATGTCCTATTTCACAGAATGTATTGTGGATGTTAAGCAACGCATGACTGTATTCACAGTGTTGTGCAACCATCACCACTGTCTAATTCCATAACTTTTCCATCATCACAGAGGGAAACCTCAGGCCCATTCGCAGTCACTCTCCATTCCCCTCCCCCAGCCCCTGGCAACCACTCATCTACTTTCTGTCTCTATGCATTTGCCTATTCTGGACATTTCATATAACAAAAATCATACACTGTGAATTTTTTGTGTTTGCTTCTTTCATTTAGCATCATGTTTTAAAGATTCATCCATGTGGTAGCACGCATCAGTGCTTCATTCCTCTTTATGGCTGAGTAATATTCCATTGTATGAATAGACCACAGTTTGTTGATCCATTCATCAGTTGATGAACATTTGGATTATTTCTACATTTTGGCTATTATGAATCCAATTTTTTAAGAAAAGATTGAAACCTGAATTTTGGAACTCTATTCATTTTAAAATTAAATGAATTAAATAAAATTAAAAAAAAATTGAGAACATGGCTGGTGCTAATCAAAATATATCTGAGAGTGGCCACATGTGGCTCGTGGACCCCCAGCTTGCAGCTGCTTGCGCTTGCCCACCACACAGGGCATTTTCCCAGTGCCCTGGGGAGGAAGCTGAGGCACTAAAGCCCAGAGAGGCTGCTAATTCCTTGGGGATCACACAGCTCATTAGGGCAGGCTCAGAGCTCTGGCACCTCATCCTGGGCTGGTCTTGCCTTCCGTAATGCAGCAAAGTCCATCTGTAGCCCTGGCCTCTTCTGGAAGAGTCACTTCAAATCCTAGCACTGAGAGAACCATTGTTAAAATGTTAGCTTATCTGCTTCTTGTTTTTTCTGGGCACTTACGTTTTTACGTAGTTAAGGTTGTGTTGTATATGTAGTTTTACATGTGTATGTAATTTTTTAGTTTTTTCATGAGCACTCCCAGGTACGGTGGAAGCCCTAGGCAGCTTCACTGTAACCCACTCAACATCATGTTGTTGTACACAGGGGTGGCACTCTGCAACAGGGTTGAAACTCACTTATAACATAAAAAGGCATTAAAATTATTGTTTTCTTCAGAATGCCCACATCTACAGGAAGAGGGTCCTTCCACCAGCTCCCAAGTCTACTGAAGCATATTAGCAGTGCCTCTGCTTCATCTTCCATTGATGTGGCTCCTGAGCAAGCACTTGGTGTCGGAGTTACTGACTTACTCTCTAGTAGAGTCTGCTCACGTGTATTTCTAGGGCCACCCCACTGTCCTGTGACATGTCCATAAATTTGGAAGATTAAAATCTTTTCCTAAGCACCATTAATGGCACTCTCTGGATGAAAGAAAAGCCGTTTGAAAGCCACTGTTGTAGCCAGCCCACCATCACCAGCTCTTCCCAAGTAGTACTGGGGGCACCTTGGCCAGGCGGCCTCTGGAGGATGTGTTCAAGGCTGAGAGGAGGGATGTGGTTCCTGCCAGGTCAGTGGAGCACTACCTCCTTCAGCCAAGACATAAAGAGCTGCCACCTAGTAGGAGCAGGGCTCACTGCCTGGCGATTCAGAAGGCTTGGGCACCTCTCTGCCCGCCTACCCTCCTCCCTCCCGGGTGAAGACAGAGCTATCTTCTGCCCTGGCTGAAGCAGGTGATGCTGCTGGCTTCTCGGTGACCCCTACAACAGCATGGCTCTTCTGTGCATCCCCCCTCCCTGCGCTGTGTCCATGAATAATTCATGTGTGAGGTTTGGGATGAACAGGCTGGCAGTGGGGATGATGGGAGATGCTGCTCCCCGTGAATGGGTCCACAGAGCTGGAGGCCAAAACCTGCCAGTGCTTCTGATCTGGGTTCTGTCCCACTTCCTCTCATTCATTCGTGCTTTCAACAAGCACTTATTGATTGGGTGTGTAGATGGCCTGTGTTCTGCTAAGGGTGCAGAGAAGCAAGCATGCAGAGGAGCCTGGGAGAGAATCTGCAGCCATCATTGGGGTGGAGGATGGTGCCGGCTGCTCCCCACAGGCAGCTTGTTTGGACCTCTCAGTGCCCATGGAAGGAGAAGGGGGTGTTATCTGTCCCCAAGTATGATGGTTAAGATTGTGTGTCAGCTTGGCTGGGCCATGATTCTCAGTGTTTATACG